TATGTACAAAAATAGAGGCGCAAAATTCCTTCTTTGATTACAAAGGGTAACTCTGCTGATTTTAAATTAGACTCAAGCATCAAACTTGACAGATTGCAAATTTGTGAATTTGCCACTAATTTTCTCATTCACACTACAGCTATTTAGAACCATGTCATGTTAATGTAACATTGGCTGCCCTGTCCAACACGACCCCTCGGAGTGCTTAAATTATTATCATAAAAATAAATGTAGCAGTTACGGGGCCCACTATTGGATTTAAAGTGAAAATCCTCTCACGAGTGGAAGGTGATTAACGAAAGAAGAAAAGCGCAAATCTACCACAACCCTTTCGCCCTGTGAAGTTATTTGATAACTATGTGCAATCACCCGGTCTCTCTCCTTCTCTCTATATTTAGCCAATGAAGCATCAGCAAGAAAGATATTAGTCTCTTGATATTCCCATCAGCAAAGTGCTGTGCAGACCAAATGCCCCCCCACCCCTCACTCCCCCTTTCATAACCGGACTCTCCCTCCCCCCATGAAGATCTGCCATCCAAGTCCCAACTGGATTTTGCACGCCTTGGGTTCTTGGTCCAGCCACAGGTCAAAGGTACCCTGGAATTGGTAAACTTCTTAGCAACAAACCTTTTCCTATTATCACTGTACCTTTGAGGCCACTCCCTGTAAGCAGTCTAGAGCCTTGGTAAGTGAATTATGTGATTTTGTTCTGTCACTTTACTAATCGCACACACCGTTCAACTAACAGCATGACGGTAATGAAAACATGACCAGCAGTAACTCCTGTTGCTGGTGCGATACCCACTCTAAAAGCACTGATTGGCACATTCTCATTTTAAGTTTGGATTGACTGGAATAATCAAGTTCAAATGCTCCGACGTCTTTTTGCTGCCAGAAAGTAGGAATGTGCTAAACACTCCCACCCAACCCGGCTGATGATTTTATGTGGAATGCAAAGCCAGTACTGTCCAGCTGGTGGACCCCAGCTCGTGGTTATTTTACAGGGTGGGTCAGTGCGCCCCCCTCGTCTCACCACACATCAATCCATGGCGTCGTTTCAGTTTGAGGGAGATTTCCGATTTCTACAATGCATTAAGTAACGGTGTACGTGTGTTTATGCGTGTATGTTTGTGACCAATCCTGAGTATCTGACAATAAAAACCAATTCCATGACTTGCCACTAAAAGGTCTTGCTTTAAAAATAGCCATACTGTATTGAGTTACAGTCAAGTCAACGCAGTGTTTGCCATTAACAGAGCCTAAAAAATAGCAGATGCACTGTGTGCAGGAAAGCGAATGAAATAAAGATGAAAAGATAAGCCTAAACTGCAATTTAAGTGGACCCCCATGTCCAGGCTTTAAAAGAAAAAAATTGCCTAAACCGTATTAATTATAAATTTTTTTTTAAACTATGCCATGAAGAAAAATGGAACATGAAAATTAACTAAAGCGCTAAAGCTGGATGTTTTTCAGTGTTTGTTTAAAATCTGTAAATAGATTTGTGAAATTTGGATGGAATGTTTTTGAGTGAGACAAGCCAACTTATAGCACAAAATCACATAATTCATATGCATTAATCAGTTGCTAATATTTATTGATGTCAGTGCTGTTTATGTCCCACCAAAAAAAGATAAGGATAATATTTACCAAAAGGATATCATTACCAAATTAAGTTTTGTTGAATTATATAAAACACTAACAGGATGGAAAGTGAAATGTATGATTTTAGTTAAAAGAAAAAAAGAGTATTAATTAATGGGTTTTGATTAAAAAAATTAGTAGGAATGACCCGACCTCATAAATCGTAAGTTTTTCTTTTCTTTTCTTTTAATTTCTTCTGTGATTCTAGAGTTTGCTTTTCTGTAAGGCTTAGGCTTATACTAATTATACTGTATATGGAAACTGTTAAAAAAAAACACCCCAAACAAATCAAGCACTGTGGTGAATTATATGTGTGTCTCATACATGTACTTGTCCTTGGAATCTGAGGAACGTGAGGTCTATAATAATAAATGTATTATTCCTCAGGGACTAACAGCGTGATCTGCAGACTTTGCTTACACCACAAAAAATGATACCTGTTCATTTACTTTCAAACAGAAACTACTCCAAACTACTGCAAAATGACAAGACAGAGATACATTTTAGTATATAATCAAATCTACTCTGATCTCTGTTTTCCCAGTCTGGAATCATGCCTCTGTCAGGAACACCAGCACCACCCAGCAAGAGGAAAAAGCCCTCCAAGATCATCACTGACCTGTCACACATAACCCAAGATGGTAAAACACCCACAAACTTCAGCTTTATGCTTGATTTGTTGCATCATCATTCCATACATAAACACATGAGACAGGTCAAAAAATGTCACCTGAGATAATTGATTGATTGTCAGGGAAGCTATGGTTATAAAGTAATGAAAGGGAATTACAGTACAATTTGAATTAACTGTGCACACGATCCTTTAGAAATCATTCTAATATGCTGATTTGGTGCTCAGCTAGCATCAGTTATGAATAATGATAATTATTGTTATCAGTGTTGCTGCTTAATATTTTTTGTGGAAAAAAAACTTTGATTAATAAAAAGTTCAAAAGAACAGCATTTATTTGAAACATTTCTAACATTATAAATCTCTTTTGATCAATTTAATGCAACTTTGCAGAATAAAAATATTATTTTTTCTTTTTTAAATCTTATTTAAACCAAACTTTTGAAATGGTAAGGTTTCACGGTTTCTACAAAATGTTTATATGTTTTAAGCAACACAAGTGTTTCCAGCATTGATAAAAGTAAGAAATGTTTCAAAATCAGCATAATAAAATAAAAAAATTATATTATTTTCAAAATAATATGCTTTTATATTGCAATAATATTTCATAATAATATACTGTATGTTTCTATGATATTGTGGTACATAACAGGTATTTTTTTTATATAATTAAAGAGTGTGTTTGTGTAGCCTTTCTGACAGGTGAGAAGATGTCTTCTTTGAAAGATGTCATTAAAGACAGTATACAACACAGACAGTATACAACCTGCTCAATCGCCTGTGTTGGCAGTGTCACTGTTTATTGGGAACATCATCTTCATTTCAGGGCCTGTCACTAAGGTTTCATGCGTCTGGATTTAATATGTTTTAATGAGGAGTAATATGTCAGCAACAACATGCATCTTGCAGATTTCATAGCTGAAATGTCAGCTGTGTCTCTGATTATTACCGGAGCACCTCTCCCTCCCTTTCATCATTATAATCATGGGAAATTTACTCCACTGAAAGAACATTACATAAGTGTCTTCAGTGGAAATTAAGTCTAATTGATATGTTCTTTTTTCATGCTTTTGAATGTGTGTGAAAAATTGTTGTTGTGGAAGAATTGAGAGACTCTTGCAAACCTGATACGTGTTTATATGTTTTTCCTTCGAAAACATTATTTTGATATGAGGAACCTGTTTCTTATTCCGTGCAGGGGTGTTAAATCTAAATGAGGAATAGACTTGATAAAGTTTAAATGATTTTATTGTTTATATTAATACCGTTACGAACATTTCCAAGGAACTGCGTCTGTTTTTCCAGCACAAACAGTGGTGGTAGGATGACTAATAGCTATTTAGTTACTGTTATGATTACAATGCAGGAAAAAAGATACATCTGTATAAATATGAATGACGACACTTGATACTAGAGAATCTGGAACATTTTTTCTTTCCAAGCATAGTCTGATAATACCATGCACAGTTAAAATACAAGTGAACCAACAGAGTATTGCAATGCTGATTGCACTTTATGTTAATATATTATATTTACTAGTTTGCCAGATACCTTCAAGCTGAAAACTGATTGTCATTTAATGATATATAAACATTAAACTAGCATAGTAGTGAATAATGTCTCTTTTTTTGTTTTCTAGAGTATGAATCAGAGCCTGAGGCCTCAGAGTTTGACCTGGGGAAAAAGATCAGGACACCCAAGGATATCATGCTGGAGGAACTATCCCTTCAGAAGAACAAAGGCTCCAAGATGTTCAAGATGAGGCAGATTCGTGTGGAGAAGTTCATCTACGAGAACAATCCTGACCTCTTCAGTAGTGAGTCCATGGTAAGGCAGGCTAAGAGCTATCAACGTCTGTGAATTTGTTGTAAGATTATTTGCATTAAATTATCATTATTCCTAAATCTCAGTGGAATCTTCCAGTGTTCTCCATTCATCCTATTCTGATTCTTTATTCTGGTCAAGTTCTTATTTCTTATTTAAATGTTACATTCCAAACATGATTTGAATGCTGATTTGGAAACTCTTCCAATTATTATGTTACTCTGTGTAAAGGATAACCTCCAGAAGTTCGTGCCCAGCCTGGGGGGCCAGATGATGGATGTTGGTGGCCGCCTGATTGGTGGACATATGGCTGGCCAGGCTGTTGGGGGCGGTCAAGCACCAGTGCCTCCTCCTAAACCCGGAAGCTATGGAAAGGGATTAGAGGGTGGGCTACAAGCAGGTGGGCTCGCTGGAGTGGCAGGAGGAGCAGGGGGAAAGGATGGTGTGTCAGGAGATGCCTCACACAGTGAGTAAGAACCCAGATGGGGACCTTTATACACTAGCCAGCTCACCCACCCTAGAAACTGCCATGGAGACTCACCATGAAACTTGTGTTAAACAAGGTTATTATCGTTAAATAAAACTAAAACAACACTGTAAAAAAAAAAGTATTGGTAATTTTGTGCCAGGACATTATGCATTAATTTTATGGACATTACTGTTAACCGTAAAACACAATATAAAGAAGTGCAAAATTCAAAATACAGATAAAACACCTGAAAAAAAATCAATCAAAACTATGATTTTTTTTTTTTAACAGTGTAATAAAAACAGAAAAAACTTAAACTATTAGAAAATTCGAAATGTTTCTTTGGCAACTGAAATAAGTTCAAGTTGAAGCAGTAAAATGAAAATTAAAACCAAAATAAAAATGAATGAAACCTATATAGAAATATTTAAAAACATCAAAAACGAATAAAAAATGACAAACATATTACAAAATGTCTAAAAATTAAAATAAACAAACATAAAATAAAAGCAATTTCAAAATATTAATGAAAACTAAATCCAGAAGAACTGTGGCAACGCTTCCAAGATGCTTCAAGCAAAGCTACAATGCTGTTAAAAGTTTTAGGCACTTGTGTAAAAATGCTGTGAAATGAGGATGCTGTCAAAAATAATGTCATAAATAGATTTTCTTGATCAATTAACTTGTATTAACTAAATGGAATCAACATTTGGTGTGACCATCCTTTGTGTTTAAAGCAGCTTTTGTCCAGGTGCACTTGTGCATAGTTTTTTCAGGTAGATTTGCAGGTAGGTCTCTTGAAGCATCTTGGAGACATTGCCACAGTTCTTCTGGATTTAGTCTGTCTCAGTTTGTTCTGTTTCTTCATGAAGAGATCAGATCTCTCTCTCTGTGTGGAGCACAGGCTGTTGTCAGACTCCTTGTGCAAACAAAGATCTCACTAGATTATTACAATTAATGGCAAAATGAATGTTTGGAAATGTACACTGATATTTCCTACTGACACACTACAGCAAAAGATAGAAATAACTGACTTCAAACCATTTTGTAGCTGGGGAAAATACTAAATGTTCTAATAATTTTGGCCACCACTGTAAATAAATAATACTAATAATAATATTAATTCAACATATTTAAGATGAAACTAAACTGAACTAAAACTGAAATAAAAACGAAATGAAATCTAAATAGTAAAGTTGAAAAACAACAAAAATGTATAAAAAAAAAAATGTCAAAAGCACATAACAAAATTTTTGTACTAAAATGAAAACATACAATACACAAATAAAAGGCAATGAAAATTCTAATAGTGTATAAACAATACTAAATTAAACTTTTGTTAAAGGGACAGTTTTCCCATTAATTTAAATACTCACACTCATGTCATTACAATCTTGTTTTTTTTCCACCCAATGATTGTCCATTTTTTGGACTTTGTTGACTTTCATTGTATGGACAAAACCAGTCATAAAGAATTGGAATGAAATGAGGGTGAGTAAATGATAAGACAGATTTTAAATTTTTGGGTGAACCATGCCTTTAACTAATGGAACCCTTTTACTAATGGAATGCAATTAGTTTGAATCAGTTTATATTTCTCTATAGGTGAGGAAAGTTCTAAGGCTGCTTTGGAAAAGGCAAAAAAGAGGGCCGCATGTGTGAAGACATACGTTTCCCCTTGGGAACGGGCTATGAAGGGCAATGAAGAACTTCTAGCAACAATGAAGACTCAAATGCCTGGACCCTGCTCTCAAAAGGAGCTGTGCAATTATAAGTGCTTCAACAGGTGCAGTTGCATTTCTTCATATAGGCTGGGCAATCTGCCTCTCCTCATTCCCTGTGCATGCAACAATTGTACTTTTTCAAACCTATGGTTTCCTTTTTGCCTTTAATTGGTCTCTCTCTTTCTAGGAGCGCTATGCCTTTTGGAGGTTTTGAGAAGGCCTCTCAGCTGATGACCTTCCAGCTGCCAGACATCGAGGTAGCCACTGAGGAGCCTGAACCTGCAGTGGTGTACCAACATGATATCGGCTCACGGCCCTCCTTTAACCGCACACCCATCGGCTGGGGGGGTAGCGCTGAACAAGGCAGCATTCACATGGAGTTGGATACTATAGGAGCTGTGCAATTATAAGTGCTTCAACAGGTGCAGTTGCATTTCTTCATATAGGCTGGGCAATCTGCCTCTCCTCATTCCCTGTGCATGCAACAATTGTACTTTTTCAAACCTATGGTTTCCTTTTTGCCTTTAATTGGTCTCTCTCTTTCTAGGAGCGCTATGCCTTTTGGAGGTTTTGAGAAGGCCTCTCAGCTGATGACCTTCCAGCTGCCAGACATCGAGGTAGCCACTGAGGAGCCTGAACCTGCAGTGGTGTACCAACATGATATCGGCTCACGGCCCTCCTTTAACCGCACACCCATCGGCTGGGGGGGTAGCGCTGAACAAGGCAGCATTCACATGGAGTTGGATACTATACCATTTGATGGGGAGACTGATGACCTGTGAATCTACAACTCTAAAAAAAAAAAAAAAGATTATGCCTGTCCTAATTACGCTGCACTCTATTAACCAGACACACACCTATGCACACAGCCACAATTCAACAGTCCATCAGGAGGACATGTAAAATGTGAATGGCAAACCTCTCTCACTGTACATGTAACTTTGAATCTAAATCTGCCTCTCAGTGTGAGCTTTAAAAAAATAAATACATATGTATTTGTGGAGGAATTTTATGCATGAAGCATATCAACTTAAATGAAGGTGTCAGGTGGAGACTGAAGTTTTTATTCGCTTGTTATTTTGTCAGCATGTTGCATTTTAGAAGTTAACAAATGAGCATAATGTGCATTTTGCAACAATGTCCAGTTAGCATTCGCAGTGATGGACTGCTTGGCACGCGCTGCTTTTTTTCTGTCACTTAAAAAAGGTAAACAGTTTTTGACTGCACAATCTGCAACCTCCCTTTAAATAAGCTAATGTCCCACTTTAACATTTCATTATAGTGTCATTTACATGAGTAAAATACTGATTATAGTCATGACCATCATGTACTTATGATTATAATAAGGTTGTGGAACATCTTACACAGTATTGTTGTCTCTGCTGTAATAGATTACTATTATTATATGTAATACGAGCACATTATGCATTTTAAAATATTACTGGCATCCATGTCTTCGCAAACATTAATGCAAAAACTCAAAAATAAAAACTCTAAACGACTGTCTTCACACCACTGCATGCCCATTCTTTAATAAATGATTGATTGGTTATATTTCTGTTGCTGTCTTTTGTGAATATACTGTGTCATTTGTTACTATAATTAAATTGGGAAGGAGAAAGTGGGTCATAAGTATATTTGCCTGTGTTTTATGGCACTAATACTAACCACAGCCAGCAGGTTGTATGCAATATTTCACAAGGACTTTCATGATCACTTTTATGAGCCGGTTCTTTTTAGTGAATGAAAAATGCACAATGCAAGTGTTCAATTCTTGAACAAATGACTTGCATGAACCAGTTCTCTTTAAACCATTAAAATAAATATATAAAATAATAATAAAAAAAAAAGAAATAAATTCAATATATCAGTTGGAGCAGTAACTGAATTAATGTGACTCAAATCTACTGAACATGTAGGCTACTTATTTGTTATTTTGTCATGTCTGACTCGAAATGACAAAGAACTTTTGTTTTATTTTAATAAAATAAATTAACTTGAATGAAATATGTCTGAAATCTTTAGTATAATAGTAGGATAAAAAAAAGTGTGTCATTTTGTGGCATCACTTGGTATTATGGGCCCCTTGTACGCTTATTATATTGCATAGAATGTCTGTGAAAAGTCCTAGAGTCTGCAAACATAAAAGCGTTGCTTTTTTCTGAAATGTTAGCCTATATCCGTTCATGTGTTCATAATTTTGGCAACAGACTGCTGAGGGAGGCAAATGCAATAAGAACCCCCTCATTTTAGAGGAAACATTTTCCCCTTAAGTTGTTAATGGAATCCTTAAGGAAGTCGTTAAAAAATTAACGATTCCCATTCGTACTTATGAATCCCTGTATTTACAAGCATCCCAGCCTACGGCCCAGTCTCCTTGCCACACTCCGTCGACTCGACACCTGAGACGCCAAACATCGCGAGAGTTGGTTGCCTTGGCTGCAGCACAGTGACGCTGACGCTGAGGGATGTTTAAGGTTTAGCGGCAGAAAATAACAGATTTTTACCCTGCCGACCAGCCCGGGGGAGGATGCATACTGCAAGGTAAGGACACCCTCCTTTCACCATCCTATCGAAGCAGTGTCTGCTCCTCCGACATGAAGAAAGGGCAGAGAAGACGTTTCGCTGTGTGAGTTGGGAAGTTGAGACGTAGCTGCTCTTCCACACAGGCATGTGCTGATCTAGTAAACAAACATAGGATGCATCACTGTCAGAACGAATGCATTTAATAATTTACGCAGTACGGCGGATTTCAAATTGGCGTTTTCTTATTTGGCTATGCTTCTCCGAAAGGGTTGTATTGTAATACAGGTATAGTGCGAAGGAGACGCTAAATCTCACATGCTGTAATGTGCTGACGAAGCTGTGCACACTGTGCGTTGTGGCGAACACAACGCTGCGCATCTAGAAGTTCGCCACGTAGTAGAATAACCACTTGGTTGAGCCTCGACCGTGGCGATGCATGCATCAATTCTATCATAAATGACAAATTACCCATGCATTTTCAAAGTTTGTATTTTCTATAGCGATTGAATAAAGCCTGCATCACAGAAAAAAAGGATATTGCAGATTTGGAGGTGATTTATTGCCGGCCCCGTCTCGTGCGTTTTAACTTGCCCAGCACAAGACCATATGCTCCTCACCATTTTCAGTGACGTAGCGCTTTCTCATCTTTTCAATACACTTGATTGTCCTCTAGCCGCCAATGTCATCTGGTGGCGTTTTAGAGGCTGTGCGGGTGAGAAGCAGAGAGAGTGAGAAGCATAGGTCATTCAGGTGTGCTGAATATCTATCTATCTATCTATCTATCTACTGTTCTGAGGAAAGTACAAGATCATAAATCATAATAGCATTCATAAACTTTGGGTTTTCTTCATTGAACATAATAATTGGAGTTTAATGAGTTGGTTCATTTGCGTGCACAAAAATCAGTCAGTTTTCAGTGTGTGATGGTGTGTTACATAAACAAGGAGATGTCTCTATTAATACAGCGAAGAGGGGTGATCAAAATAGACACCCCTCCATCCGAACCTTCTCTTTCTGTTCTCTCATCACCCCTCCTTTAGCAGTCTCTCTGTGAAAAGTAAATAAGAGCCCTGGTATGCATGCGAAAGAAGCCTACTAATTGTTATGTAAAATTTAGAAATGAATAAATTAGCATACTGATGGTCACTCCTCGAGGGCCTATGCTCCCATGTATTCATCAGCAGACAGAGCCTTAAGTCTGGCTAATTGGTTGGGGGTGTATGGGATTCCTGTAAATTTCGCAACATGCTTTTAAGGGCTTACGACAGGAAGGGACAGAAAAGCCCTTGAGGGTAACTTTTATTAAACTTCTCAAGGTAAAGGAACATTTGAGCTGAGTGGGGGACATTCATGTGTAAATCAAATCTCTGTCTTCAATTGACATCAGCCAAAGTCTTTTCCTTGTGAGAGCAGTTTTCCTGCTTCATCAAGCCCCCAGTTGAGTCTGGCTCTAGATATGCATTCTCAGCTCACATGCACTCCTCTCTCTGTGATGGTATTTGGCTGAAATACAACTATTTGAAAATCTGGAATCTGAGGGTTTAAAAAAATCTAAATATTGAGAAAATTGCCTTTAAATTGTCCAAATGAAGTTCTTAGCAATACTAAACAAAAATTAAGTTTTGATATATTTATGGTAGGAAATTTACAAAATATCTTCATGGAACATGATCTTTACTTAATATCCTAATGATTTTTGGCATAAGAGAAAAATCGATAATTTTGACCCATACAATGTATTTGGCTATTGCTACAAATATAGCCCAGCGACTTAAGACTGGTTTTGTGGTGCAGGGTCACAAATAAGCTGCAGTCTGTTAATGCCAAACAGAATTTAACAACAGATTGTCATAGAAACGCATAATGATTCTACTATTTCATATACTCTCCCATATGCATGGCGAATGATAGTTCTTCTCCATATAGAGTCATATTTTTCCTGTTGCTTTCATCAGCGTTGGTCATGATGAACCAATGACAGCCACGTGCGATTACAGGCTAAGGCATTTTATTTAGTAAATAAATACTTTCTAGTATACTGTACGTGTATACGGTAAGACAAAAAAGTCACAGGATTTGCATACATCCCAATAGAGAATTTTTTTTTAAATGAAAGGTTGAAGCATATAATTAAAACAGCTTATATGTTTATTTTTATGTGTAACTGTTTTTATAATGCACTTTCAGGATTTTATAAAAAAAACACACAAAAAAACAATTTATTTTCCAGAGTAGTTTGCAGCCCAGTAAAATGTGCCATGGACAGTGAGGAGATTTTAATGAGACTGACACTGCTGCTGGCATTGCACATAGTTCGTTTATTGCTTTTCAGTTTGCAAGTCTCACAGCAGTCAGTGTAAATAATCTTGCACATTTGGACTGTCATCGCCTGTCAATATTACACAATATCCTAACAGAGACAAACTTGCATGAATTGCACATTACAGACTAAAATCTTAAACAGACTGAATAAAGGCCAATAAATAATCACATATGGTTGTGATTTGGTAAGTGGCAAAAATCTTCTACCTTCATTACTTCTTATTTCACAGTGAAATAAGTCTATCTAATTAACAGATTTGGTCATTTTCTAGTGGACAGTTACCCGAAAAAGTATTTGAACTTGAAATGTATACATTTTATTGCATTGGTAATAATATCAAACCAACAATTGTGGCTTAACTGTCCAAATATGATTTTGTAGCCACTGTGTCTTCTTTGCAGGATTTTAATGCGTCTGTGTTTTCTAGTTCTTGTCCATATTGCCCTTTTGTTTCTTATTCTTTATTAATTGTGTTTGTAGAAATGCTTTTAGAAAGCGAAATGGAGAAAGATTAATGACATAGACAGCAAGGATATTACCACGATCAACGCACAGAAACGTAGCATGGACATGTCTTACACCATTTTGGAGAGTACCCCAGAACGTAATCAGCTTTGTTTACGTTCAGCATGCAATATTACCACGATCAACGCACAGAAACGTAGCATGGACATGTCTTCCACCATTTTGGAGAGTACCCCAGAACGTAATCAGCTTTGTTTACGTTCAGCATGCACGCGCTGTCTACTGAACATAAACAATGCTGATTACGTTGATTACGTTCTGGGGTACAAAATGGTGGAAGATGGTAACTCAGGGACTCAATTGCTGAATAAATTGTTATTATTGTTTTTTTTTGCGCACAAAAAAATTTATTCTCGTAGCTTCGTAAAATGACGTTTGAACCCCTGATGTCACATGGACTATTTTACCGATGTCCTTGCTATGTTTCTGTGCGTTGATCATGGTAATATCCTTGCTGTCTATGGAGGGTCAGAGAGCTCTCAGATTCCATTAAAAATATCTTAATTTGTGTTCCGAAGATAAACGAAGGTCTTACGGGTTTGGAACAACATGAGGGTGAGTAATTAATGACAGAATTTTCATTTTTGGGTGAACTAACCCTTTAATCATGTATGATTTTTAAACTCTGTGACATTCATTTTCATGAAAGATAGCACAAGGACATTGTGCAAGCAAAACCAAAATAACTAGTTTATTAAATTTTAAATAACAGAAATATAAACTGGTCAAAAATGATTAGACACCTTCTGGTTATCTTCTGTAAGTGGAACATGTTCATGGTTAATGTGCTGATGTACACCTGTGGTTACTCAGCTAGGACACCTGTGTGAACTGACTAACATCCACTAAATTCGGCTGGAGACCAGGTGGTTAAACTTAATTTAAAAAATAATTCACAAATGTTAAAATAGAAAGGGTCTGGCTTCAGTTGCTTGCATTTACCATTTGGTTTGGTGCAATAGCATTCAAAGTCTGGGATAAGGTTTTTAATGAAGTCTCTTATGCTTACTAAGGTTTAAGTTATTTGATCAAAAATACTGTAAAAACAGTATTGTAAATTTAAGATAACCATTTTCTATTTCAATTTATGTTAAAATGTAGTTTATTCCTGAGATGGCAAAGCTGAATTTTCAGCAGTTAGTTAACTAGTTGTATTTATGCGCAAAAGTTACGTGTAA